TTACAATGGGCCTCAAGGGACTCATGGTTCACATCTGGAATAGTGGGTGATGAAGAACAGGAGACTGTGGGTGAGAGTGCTCAGCAGCAAGAGCAGCTAGAGCATGCTGGGCGGCAGCAAGTGGTCTGGCAACAGGTGGGGCGACAGCAGCTGGAGATGCAGCACTGGGGTCTGCAGCAGCTGGGTACACAGCAGGTGGGGCGGCAACAGGTGGTTTGGCAGCAGGAAGGCCTGCAGCAGCTAGAAATGCAGCAGCTGGGTTGGCAGCAAGAAGGCCTGCAGCAGCTGGAAATGCAGCAGCTGGGGTGGCAGCAGCTGGATCCACAGCAACTAGAACTACTACAGCAGGGGCGGCAGCAGCTAGAGATGCAGCAGCTGGGGCGGCAGCAGCTGGATCCACAGCAGGTAGGGCGACAGCAGCTGGGTTGGCAGCAGGAAGGCCTGCAGCAGCTGGAAATGCAGCAGCTGGGTCTGCAGCAGGTGGACCCATAACAGCTGGAACTGCTACAGCAGGGGCGACAGCAACTGGAGATGCAACAGTTGGGGCGGCAACAGGTGGGCTGGCAGCACACAGACTGACAGCAGCTGGGTCTGCAGCAGCTGGACACACAGCAGGTAGGCCTGCAGCAGGTGGGCCTGCAGCAGGTGGGCTGGCAGCAACTGGGCTGGCAGCAGCCTTGGCCACAGCCCTCCTCAGAGCAGACAGAGCCACAACAGGAGCTGACCATGGTGTCAGAGGTGGAGGTTCTGGGTGGGTTTACCAGAAGGTGGGTTGGAAGATTTGGAAGTGGGAGTCTCCCTGCCCACATCCCCTTTTATACTCCACTGAGGGGCTGCTGTGTTCACATGCAACATTCTTCCCTTGTTATTGTTTAGGTTCATAAACAGGTGATTATCAAATTAGACAAGTTCCTTTTCCTGGCTAAATTTTCAAGGCTAATGGAAAAGAGTTTCCTTTTCCTGGTGTGTTAGGGCTCATTGGCCGTTTTCAATGACCCATCTACAAAGTTTCCTATGGAATTTAGTTCCTTCTGGAAGGGTTTTCACAAGACAATGTGTGTCTTATTCCTCTGCCCTTCAGTCTCATGCTATACAGTGCTAGACTGCGTACTCAGGTCATTATTATTTCCACAGATCTTTTCATGACTGAGGAGGGTAAAAGGACAAGGTTGGACCCCAGACAACTCTCCGTGTAGACTGTGATTCAGTTTCTAAATCTTTTAAAACTGGAAATGGAATAATGTCCAAGTGGTAAGGTAGATGGTAAAAAGTTAGATTATATTCTTTTTTTCTATGAAAAACAAATCTCTAACACAAATTTTAATGTCACTATGAAGAGTTTTGGCTGCAGAGCTGAGCTATATCATAAAATGCATGTCCCTAAGTTGTTTCTCTTGGCCTTACTACTTTGCCATCCTGTCTTTTGACTTTACCTGATCCTGCCAGCCATATTGCTTCTGTTTCAAGATGTCAGAACTCCTACTGCACAGTCTCTTGCTCTAAATTCAGCGGTTCTCAACCTGTGGAGGTCACCTTTCACAGGGTGCCTAAGATGATCAGAAAACACAGAAATTTACACTACAGTTCTTAACAGTATCAAAATTACAGTTATGAAGTAGCAGTAAAGATAATGTTAATATTGGGATCACTTGAGAACCTGTATTAAAGGGCCACAGCAATAGAAAGGTTGTGAAGTACTTAGTCTAGCTTGTACCCAACATTACTGTGTCTGTTGAGGCCCTGGACCCTATAGACACTCCTGCTCCCTGAGTTAGATGGTTGACTGATCTGATTCCTTTAGTTATGTTAATAATGACATAACAAGACAATGAAAGGAAGCGGGTGTTTCGATAGTAGGATTTCTGTTTGCATTTGTATACTGTGTGGTCAGAGGAAAGACTGCAAGCTGTACAGTCCCCATCCTACTGGCTAGTTGAATAAAGTTTCTGAGAAGGAGATAAGTTGCTTTCTCTTCTTCTCTTAGACTGAATAATGAGAGGCTAACTGGTGATAATTTAAAGACCAATCCCATGCAAACTTTACTCTCCTTGGCTTATTAAGCCACTTTTCTTTGTGTGTGTGTGTGTGTGTGTGTGTGTGTGTGTGTGTGTGTGTGTGCTTTTACTTTAGGATTCTTTTCTGTAGCACTGATGAAGGTGAAGGATGGAAACGTATGTGTAAAATGCTTGCTAGATTTGAAACATCATAGAAAGAGTAAAAGAATAAAGACCCAGCTGATTGTTAGAGGAGAGGTTTCCCTGTTGATTTAGGGAAGTTAATGAAGCTCTCTGGGGCTCAGACTAAAATCCATTTTTAGAACACTGTTTATCATGTGCAAGAAGAGTCTATGGTCAAACCCAACACTGAAAATTGCACATGAGAATTAAGCCAAGGCCTAGCTCCCACAACTAAAACAGTAGAGTGAATTGCCTCTGTCAAACAATTTGTAAACAATCATAGCCACTAAGCTAGATGGAGACATGGCTGATTCATTTGGCAAAGGTTACAAATTGTCTTTGCCTACCCTTCCCAAAATAATAGTTCACATAATAGGTCTGTAGTAGATTATATGTGTCACAAGGTTGTAACATTCCATGGTTTATCCCAGTGCCCAACAATTGAGATCTCTCTCCTTAAAACTTCCACACTAGAGAGCTGCATTCATTCAGAAGAGAGCATGCAAAACCAGTTACATTTCACTCGGTGGCATCTAAATCACAGAGAAAATTTTCCTGAATTGGAAATATTGAGCTCTAAGCACTGTAGACTAAGAGACCCACAGCACTGAGAATGGGCCTGAAGCCCAGTGGGAAGCCACTATAGATGGCAATCGGGTAATTAACGAGGAACCTCCGTGCTGAGAGAATCACTCTGTATACACTTCACCAAATTTTCTGGTAGTCTGGAATGGATAATTGATGCCAGCATGATAGACGCAACCAGAACTGACAACTGACGGCAGTGCAAGGCCATAGAACCACGTGATGTCTACCCTAGGCTGTATTTGCGCTATGTAGGTGGGGTTAGAATGGAGGGGAGGCAACTGTATTTGCAAAAGGCATCCAGGAACTGTGTCATGTCGTTCAGAAACCCAGCCCAGGATGAGATGATATCTTGTCAAGCATCATGTTAGTTTATACAATTCCTGGTATGTGTTATGTCTATAGCTAAATTGGATAATTAGGTGAGTAACAGTGTCTAACTTATAACCTCATGATCTGTACAGAGAACACAATAGGTACATGCAGTGGAAAGCCTCATACTTCCTGTACAATTGATTTCCTTATAATTAAAAATGAAGCTCCATTAAGTACTAATGAATATATATTGAATGAATGAATGTATAATGAATGAATGAACAAATATTAAAGGAATGAATATGTTAAATACACAAATGAATATATATTAAGCAGTATTATCAGTCTTAAGAGTGATCTATGCATTAAAATCATTAAAATGCCCTCCCAATCATTGATTGATTCCTGTTTTCTTCTAAAATATTTTCATTGCTCAGCTAGGTAAAGGTGGTGCATGCCTTTAATCTCAGCACTCAGGAAGCACAGGTAGGCTGAACTCTATGAGTTTGAGGTGAGCCTGGGCTACAAGAGCTAGTACAGTCTCCAAAGCTACAGAGAAGCCATCTCAAAATACTATATATATATATATATATATATATATATATATATATATATTAAGAAATATATATATTAGGAAATATATATATATTTTTTTCTTAATCTAATCTTGGTGTTTAAACCTAGTTAATCATTTCAGTTCATCTGTTTGAAAATAAGTTTTTTTCCTTAGGAAAACATGCATATACTAATAATGTGTGATTCCCCTCTGTATATTGTGAATATGTTTTATTACCATTGGTTAGTGAATGGAGCTGTTTTGGTCAATGGTGTAGCAGAGTAAAGTTAACAGAGATATATAGAGAGAGTTGGCAGAGTTAAGGAGAAGCCATGAAGCTACCAAATGAGAAAGACCCCACCAGAACCTTACCAGTAGAACACCGCCTTGTGGTAGTATACAGATTGATAGAAATGGGTTAATTTAAGAGAAAAGAGCTAGCTAGGAATATAATAGGGTCATTGGTCAAACAGTGTTGTAATTAGTATAGCTTTTGTGTGATTTTTTGGGTCTGAGTGGCTGGGAAAACAGCACATAGCCTCTGCCTACTAGAAAAGTTTAAGTGTATATTTACATCACAATAGCTCTTAAGGAAGTGTAGGCAAATTAAAGAGACATTTCATCTCCAGGAATTGCTATATCTGTCTAGACCACATCTCCCACACAACCCCAAAGAATCACTACCTCAGGATTCTAGATGATCTTCATTTTGTCTTTCTGGGTACCATTAGCTAGCCAATAATATCTGCAAGCAGTGTAGTTTAGTTTTACAGAAATTTTGTGAATATTGCATTGACTATCAACATCAGTAATTTTTTTCCTTTTGCTTGGTATTATATTCTACCTGGAATCAGGGTTCCCTTACTGTGTCCTCAGTTCTCTCTCCCACTCCTTCACAGCACATATGTGAATCCTTTCTTGGGAGCGATTTTCTTCTAACCAACAGCATAGGGCAACAGTCAAGGGTACAGCAACTGTGACTTTCCTCTTGGTGTCCAACTCTCCTACACAGTTGTGCCTCTGTCACTGCCTTCGATGAAGCCAGGTGTTGTGTGGGAATCCTGAGGCTCTCATTCCAATGCTACCAGAGAAGCAAAGGTTCTCAGCAATCTCAGAAGTAGAGGTGGAAGTAGACCCTTCCAGGCTGTCCCTAAGTGAGTGCCTGGTGCCAGCTGATACCTTCCCTGATGTTGTGTGACACACAAGGGCACAGGCAATAAAGCCTGTCTATGCCTGATTCCTGATCCACAGAAACAGATAATAAGTGTGTGGTGTTCTAGCTTCTTTGTGTTCGGGAGCAGTATAACTATTGATTATTATTCTAGACTCATGTGGTCTCTTAACACCTATGAAGGAAGAAAAATCAAAAGGTGCAAAGAAGTAGATATGCTAGGATATTCTTAGTCATGAGGTTTGAAAACCAGTGGATGACTATTCCCTATGTGATCCAGTAATCTATCAGTTTACCCAGGCATTAGGGGAAATTTGGGTCAATTTTAGCAAGAAAAATAAGGAGACACAATGTCATTTTCTTTATGTACTTTCAACATTTCACTTTATTAAAGATGTAGAAAACTTGATTTTTAAAAAATATAGTAAAGAACAAATTATTGCAAGAGTTTACAGAGTTCAAAGAACGCTGAAATGTGAGTTCATTTTAGACAGAAACAGAAAGGAGTGTGGCAAAGCATTTGTTGTCCCAATCAATTTTAGTTGTAGCAGACTTTACAAGATGCCTCTCAGGACTCAGCACACAGAAGGTCTACATCAGGAATCCTGTGTGGTGAAGAACAGGAGACTTTGAGGGAGATAACTCAGCAGCAAGAACAGCTAGAGCATGCTGGGCGGCAGCAGGTGGTCTGGCAGCAGCTGGGGCGGCAGCAGCTGGAGATGCAGCACTGGGGTCTGCAGCAGCTGGACACACAGCAGCTAGGGCGGCAGCAGCAAGGGTGGCAGCAGGAAGGCCTGCAGCAGCTGGACACACAGCAGCTAGGGCGGCAGCAGGAAGGCCTGCAGCA